TTTTGGTGGTATTTAATCACCTCTGGGATTTTTATTTTTTTCTTTAAACAAAGCAAAAACCACTGAAAATTTTGAAAAAAAAAAGTTTTTTTCTTAGTTTTTGTTATACAATTTTGTAAATAAGTGATTTTTCTCCTTCACTGATGTGCGGTAATGAGGCTGCAGTGATGGGCACTAATAAGCTGCACTGATGGACACTGATAGGTGGCACTGATGGGCACTGATGAGGAGGCACTGGTAGGTTGCACTGATGGGCATTGACAGGCATCACTGATGGGCACTGAAAGACAGCACTGATACATGACACTGATATATGGCACTGATAGGCACTGAGCACTGATAGGCGGCACTGACTGGCACTGATGCGCACTGATAGGTGACACTGATGGCACTGATAGGTGGCACTGATTACAGCACTGATAGGTGGCACTGATTGGCATTGATAGGTGGCACTGATGGGTGACATTGAAAGGCAGCTCAGATGGGCACTAATATGTGGCATTGATGTGCACTGGTATGCACTGATATGTGTTGTACTGGCACTGGCACGTGGCACTGATGGGCACTGGCACGTGGCACTGATGAGCACTGACAGGTGGCACTTCTGGGGCACACTGATCATCAAGGCAAACTGATCATCAGTGCCCTGATGATCAGTGTACATGTCCCGTCCGCGGAAAGCTGATTACCAGCTCTCCTCTCAAGCTGTCAGCGTGACAGCTCGAGAGGAGAGAAATGCCGATAACCAGCATTTCCGTGTTTACATGTGATCAGCTGTGATTGGACACAGCTGATCACATGACCGAGCCGACATCTTCGGCTCTTTCCATGATCCGCTGTGTCCGAGGGACACAGTGCACCGGCGATCGCCGCGCTGCCGTGCTCCCTGAACCACGCATGCGCTGTGAGAATGGTAGGATGTCATATGACTTCCTATCAGAACGAGAGAACCACCTTGCGCCCGTCATTGTACTATAGGGCGGGCGGAAGGTGGTTAAGGATTGACACCTTTGGGGAGTGGGAGGTTTGATTTGACAGGTACCCACTTCCCTTCCAACCGAATAGGCGATCGGAAGTGGAAGTTCTCCTCCCAACCCCCCCCACCCCGAAGACTGTGGGACCATTCACTATGCTCAGCGGGTACCTGGCTGTGCAACTGCAAGCCATAACAGTCGGGTAACCACAGTTAAGATGCTGGTGCCATGGAGAGAGGATGGCACCCAAAACAAAAGAGAAGTTTTAGTGTCACTTTAACTATTTTTAATACTTATGCTGCCAGCATTAGTAAATAAATACAAAGGTATATTACTTTTTAAAAAAAAAATTTCAGTTACTTCCTGGTTTTTGGCTTGTGCCCAATTGATGTCCTACATCGCAAGAGTCTTCATAGGCATTTTTTTCTTTCATCTGGTTTTCTCAGCTAAGCACAGCCTCCTGCCTGCATGCCTGAGCTAAGGGTAGATGGATTCCAGAAAGTTAATGCTACAGGAATAATCTGCGGTGTAGAGAGTGTTTTTCAAAGTGATTTTTCAACAAAATTTAACAAGGAAACATGGATGTATGGGCGAGTTTGCTTTGAAAAATACAAATGAGGTAATCAGCATTTTCAGTTCGTGGTGCTCCAATACATTTTAGTTCAGTTTGCTTTAAAGCGCTATTAAACTTAAAAACAAAAAATGTCATATGTTAGAGCTTACCCATCTTTTGATGTGGTGGCATTGGCTTTTTCTTTATTTTCACACGGTGTAACGGCCGCTAACACATTTCCCGTTTTAGGGTATCTCCACTCAGGATGGCGAAGCAACAGAGATGCCATTCAACTGCAGCATTGTCAGTCTGGGTGAAGAGTAGTTTTAGATGCACTTGCAGATTTAGATGGACTTGGCTACTTATTTAACCCTTTAGCTGCCACAGCCATTTTTGCTTGTTTTTTTGCACACATGCTTAAAAAATAATTTTAGGCCTGAAGATTGCATAAACCCCCAAAACATTATATATTTTCTGAAAGCAGACACCCTAGAGAATAAAATAGTGGTAATTCCAATTTTTTGTGTCACACAATATTTCCACAAAGATCTAGGAAATGCAAAATTTTAGTAAAAAATACACTAAAGGTAATTTTAGGGCATAGGATCGCAATAAATTACCCAATTTGTTGGTAAAATATAAAAGACAAGGTTACATTGAGTAAAAAGATACCCAACATGTCAAACCTTAAATTTGCATGCATCCGGGAAATGACAACAAACTTAAGTTCCCTATATATTCTATAGGTGACACTTTAAAAGTTCCCTTATAGGTTGTCAGTTTAGCTTTATGGAGGAGGTCCTGTGATAGAATTATTGCTCACACTCCAGCTTGCACAGCGATATGTAACTTGTGTATTGCAGTTGTCATTTTCCTGATGCATGCATTTACATTCGCACATGCGTTTATGTGAGGTTGGGGGGGGCTCAAAAAGTTTGGGGGGGATTTTATGTGCTTGGGTGTTACTTTAATTTTTTTACAATAAAAAAAAAATGTTTTTTCACACTGACAGGGGGACCCGTAAGTGACGTTTTACACATCACTTCCGGGTCAGCAACAAAAAGGGGAGAGTGGACATGTATCTGCTGTGCTCCCATATTACCACGAGTTATGAAAGCAATCCAGTGCCGCCCAGAGGCATCAGACTGCTGTCATCTGACAGCCAGGAGTTGGCTTGTCAGATTTACACACAACCACTGGGAGTATGTGTGTAAAACTCCCCAATGTCAGGTCCCATACAACATACAGGCATAAAAGTGGCCACCGCCCAAGTCTAAGTCCAAGTCTATAACTAAGTCTATGCTTCATAAGCCAGTTATAGACTTGGGCGGGTGGCCACTTTTATGCATGTTTGAGTTTTTGGTACGTGGGTGCACTAGGGCCCTGGTTGCCATTGTGCTACATGCTGGGGTCCATTGCACTCCTTTGCCTTTAAGAGGGGTGGCTCCCTCAGGTCCACCTGCCCTTGATCTATCCATTAAATGCATGTGCCTCTACTATGGGGACTCATAAATTTTAGAGTTAGGGACCACAGATGATCAGGGTGCCGTGTCGTGGCTCTGTGGCTTACGTATGTATTTGCAAATGTGTGCTAACTAAACCCCTGTTATAAACGCATACTGTTAGACAGGTTAATTCGGTTGTTAGCAAGCTGGCTGGCAAGTTGTCCAAGAACATTGTTCTCTCCCCCTTTTTTCACTATGTGATGCCTGTTTATGTGTCCTTGCTTCATAAGCCAGTTATAGACTTGGGCGGGTGGCCACTTTTATGCATGTTTGAGTTTTTGGTACGTGGGTGCACTAGGGCCCTGGTTGCCATTGTGCTACATGCTGGGGTCCAGTGCACTCCTTTGCCTTTAAGAGGGGTGGCTCCCTCAGGTCCACCTGCCCTTGATCTATCCATTAAATGCATGTGCCTCTACTATGGGGACTCATAAATTTTAGAGTTAGGACCACAGATGATCAGTGTGCCGTGTCGTGGCTCTGTGGCTTACGTATGTATTTGCAAATGTGTGCTAACTAAACCCCTGTTATAAACGCATACTGTTAGACAGGTTAATTCGGTTGTTAGCAAGCTGGCTGGCAAGTTGTCCAAGAACATTGTTCTCTCCCCCTTTTTTCACCATACAACATACAGACCTGGCAGTGAAAGGGACTCAATCTAACATTTTTTAAGCAGTTACAGCAACAGTTTTATTTTTTTTTTTAGATAAAGGCTTTACATAAATAATGAATAGATGATCATGAAAATTACCCTTGTCAGTGTTAAATGCTTTGTCTCAACCCTCTCACTGCCACTTTTGCTGGACAGCTTGACCTGTTAATGGAAGCTTAAAAATACCAGACTTATTAGCCAGATCACCAGGTAAAAATGAAGAAAAAAAAGAGCCTAAAAAAATAAAACTAATACAACAGCAGTATAATATTTTTTACATTTTATTTTAATACTTCTTAACTCACCAGATTCCCCCTATAAATGAAATATCGCTTTAGGTATAATTTTGTCACTGTGATTTGTGGTTCTGCATCAACTCCCCCTGATGAAGTCACGTGACCCGGTGGCATAACGCGTAGGGGAAGGGCTCTGACATCACGACTCTCACGCTGAAGGAGGCAGCTAATAGCAAGTACTCAACATCGGATTGCTAGCAAATGTTTGGAATATCATAACAACAATTGTAGAACATGTGCATGTGAGTGTAATATAGTGTAATAATAAATGTTTTAAAAAGAGGATAAGGCACTATGTTATGATTATTTCTTATGGCACACGGACCAATGGAGGAAGACTTCTAAGGAAGTGAGAGGATCCAAACCCTTTAGGATAACAATCCCATCCAGCCACAGTCCACTTAAGGGACACGAGCTATTTATGACTTCACTTAATGGTTTGGTCATATTTACATGGTTATCACTGCAATACATTAACCTCGTCCCTACCGCGCTTTAGCCGAAAGATGTCTACAGCGCGGTTGTCTAGTTCTGGGACAACGTCCATGGACATCATTCCAGAACGTGCCCCCTGCTCGTGCACACACTACGGACACAGCTGATCACGTGATACGGTAAATGGCCAATCACAGTATCCTTTTATCACGTGATCAGCTGTGTCCAATGACACAGCAGATCTCCGGGTAAATACAGCTGCTGGTTATCGGCTGCACGTTCCTAACGCTGTTACAGAGTGAGGAAAGTACTACCGATAATCGGCAATTGTCAGAGAAGTGATCGGCACTGATCATCAGGGCACTGATCATCAGTGCCGCCTACCTGTGCAACCCATCAGTGCTGCCCACCTGTGCCCATCAGTGCTACCCACCTGTACCCTGCTGTGCTACCCACCTGTGCCCATCAGTGCTACCTACCTGTGCCCTACAGTGCCACACACCTGTGTCTAGCAGTGCCACCCATCAGTGCTGCCCAGCAGTGCCACCCATCAATGCTGGATAAGTGCCACCTATCAGTGCCCATCAGTGCTGCCTATCCGTGCCACCTCATCAGTGCCCATCAGTGCTGCCTATCAGTGCCCATCAGTGCTGCCTATCAGTGCAGCCTCAATAATGCACATCAGTGAAGGAGAAAAATTACCTGTTTGCAACATTTTATAATAGAAACAAGAAAAAAAAATTTTTTTTCAAATGTTTTGCTTTTTTTTTTTGTTTATAGTGCAAAAAATAAAACACCCAGTGGCGATTAAATACCACCAAAAGAAAGCTCTATTTGTGTGAAAAAAATGTAAAAAAAAGTCATATGGGTACAATGTCGCATGACCGCGCAATTTTCATTCAAAGTGCGAAAGCACTGAAAGCTGAAAATTGGCCTGGGCAGGAAGGGGGTTTATGCCCAGTAGGCAAGTGGTTAAAGATGAATCAAGTATAAGTTGGTTTGTCCACATCACTAAAAGGAGTGTATGATCACGGATGTACTATCAACATTTTGTTTAAAAATTTTGGCTTTGACTTATAAGTTTGGAGATTATATATACTTTATATATGTTCATCAGTGGAGCATGACACTAATTTATTGTATTTGCATATTGATGTCACATTTGTATGGGTATGTGTATGGTGTAGGCGTTCTTCTGTTTCCACTTCATATTTTTTGGAATTAATTTTTTTTTTTTTTTTTTTTAAGTCCGCAAACGTGCAACTATAACGAAAAAACCCGTAAGTGTTTCACAAAAAAGTGCAAGTGCAAAAACACCACACAAAAAGTGCACTTAGGGGTGTGCTTTGTCCTACCCCCGAAGGGGTTGGACCACTACCCTGATCCCCCGGGGCACGAAGCTCCTGACAGGGACAAGGTTCCCATTTGGTCCTCCTGGCCAAAATTAATTTTTTGGAATTAATTTTGCACTAATAATTGTATAGGTACCATAGCAGCTCGCAAGACTACATTTATTATGAACTCTGTAGTAGTAGTGACTTTGTATTTTACTTATGGTTTATTATATACAGTACAATTGTTTCTTAAGTAAGCAAACTTACTTGTGATAGACCATTCTAAGCATATTCAATTGCATATACCATTTATTTGTCTCTGGAGCTAGCCCATGGTGCCCATCTGTTAACATAACACCCGTTTTTGTACAAGAGGGCAATTCCTATTGTATGTAAAGCAGCAGGAAATACAGCTGCTTTCCTTTCTAGCTCAATTAATTGTTTCCTTTCTACATAAAACTGTAAGTATTGGCCACTTTGGGAAGGGGAGCGGATTTCCTGCAATACTGCTCTTATTTCCTCTTCTAAGTACATTAACTAAGGCTTGCAAATGATGAGTGGCAACATAAGTGAAAGTAATATTCATGTACCTTAACTGTGATAGAATAGATAACAGACACGTTGAGGCTTAAATTACTGTCCCCCTTTTTAAATTATTATTACAGGTACTTATATAGCGCTGTCAATTTAAGCAATACTTTACATACACTATATTGCCAAAAGTATTGGGACGCCTGCCTTTACACACACATGAGCTTTAATGGCATCCCAGTCTTAGGGTACAATATTGAGTTGGCCCACCCTTTGCAGCTATAACAGCTTCAACTCTTCTGGGAAGGTTGTCCACAAGATTTAGGAGTGTGTCTATGGGAATGTTTGACCATTTTTCCAAAAGCACATTTGTGAGGTCAGGCAAAGATATCTCCACTCAAATTCATCCCAAAGGTGTTCTGTCCGGTTGAGGTCAGGATTCAGTGCAGGCCAGTCAAGTTCCTCCACCCCAAACTCTCTCATCCATGTCTTTATGGACCTTGCTTTGTGCACTGGTGTGCAGTCATGTTGGAACAAGAAGGGGCCATCCCCAAACAGTTCCCACAAATTTGGGGGCATGAAATTGTCCAAAATGTCATGGTCTGCTGCTGACACCTTAAGAGTTTCCTAACTAAGGGGCCAAGCCCAACCCCTGAAAAGCAAGCCCACACCATAATCCCCCCTCCACCAAACTTTACACTTGACACAATCCAGTCAGGCAAGTACCGTTCTTCTGGCAACTGCCAAATCCAGACACATCCATCAGATTGCATGATTCGTCACTCTAGAGAACACGTCTCCACTGCTCTAGAGTCCAGTGGCAGCGTACTTTACACCACTGCATCCGACACTTTGCATTGCACTTGGTGATATAAGGCATGAATGCAGCTGCTCAGCCATGAAAACCCATTCCATGAAGCTCTCTACACACTGTTGTGCTAATCTGAAGGCCACACAAAGTTTGGGGATGTTTAGTCTCTATTGACTTGGCAGATAGTTGGCGACTTCTGCACACTGTGAGCTTGAGCATGTGCTGACCCTGCTCTGTCATTTTACGAGTTGCTGTTGTTCCCAGTTGCTTCCACTTTGTTATAACACCACTAACAGTTGACTGTGGAATATTTAGTAGCAAGGAAATTTCACGGATGGACTTATTGCACAGATGGCAACCTATCACAGTACCATGATTGAATTCACTGAGCTCCTGAGAGCGACCCATTCTTTCACAAATGTTTATGGAAGCAGTCTGCATGCCTAGGTCCTTGAGTTTATACACCTGTGGCCATGGAGGTGACGTGAACACCTGAATTCAATGATTTGGAGGGGTGTCCCAATATTTTTGGCAATATAGTGTATCTGCAGGTCTAACGTTTCAGAACCGAAAATAAAATTAGGGATGTATTTTTTCTTTTTTTAAGCCTACCTCACCATAACCTGTCTAGTTGTAAATTGGGAAATTAATCCTGTGACTGATCAGCCTTTTCCCCATTCACAAATTGTGTAACAGGCAGTGTAATCAGTGAAAGAACATTTCTCAGTGGAGGAGAGGGCAGAAGGGAACATGTCCCATCAGATCATGTTTAGAGACCTGCAGGTGTTAACCCCCATAGCACTGGAAGTTCAGCAGCAGGAAAAGGACACCGCAATCCTACAGTGGAGATTTTTACAGAATTCAGCAGCCCACACAATGTGATAATTACTTCATTGCAGGTAAGTAATGTACCTAAAGCTGTAGAGAAAAAATTTTAACTAGACTTAATCTGTAATATATGTTGCAATAATACATAAAGAATGTATAATCATTATAAAGTGCAAATGGGCTTCCCAGTGCTCTCTAAAGACAAGATGATTGCCAGCATTTAGGGTTGATTCATATTGCAGACAAATTGTGGAGCTTAAAGTGATATTAAAGGCAGTTCTAAAAAAAAAAATAACAAACATGTTATACTTACCTGCTACTGTATGTGCATTGCTTTTGCACAGAGATGTCCCCCGCTGACGCTTCTGGTACCTCCCTCCTACCGGGTGCCCCTAGAGCAAGCAACCAAGGCTCTTGTGCACATAGCTGGATCACGATGGAGCACAGGTAAGTATTGGGGGGGCTGCTGCACACAGAAGGTTGTTTACCTTCATGCATAGAATAAACGAGGGTAAAAACCTTGAGACTTTACAACCATATTTCAAGATAAGTTCTCCTTTTCAAAAAAACAATAAGGTTAGGAAAAAAAAATGTGCAGTTATTTTATTTTTTTTTTTGGGAGCCTGTAAAGCATTGCACCCACTATCAGCAGATCGTGAGTGCTATGAAGGGCTCTTGCAGACTTTGTGTGTAAGCTGTCTGCTGGTATCTCATACAGTCAGTTACACACTGGCAGGAAGCCTCAATGAACTACCACAGTGCTCAACAGCGCCATGGTAGTTGACTGAGAACTACAACATGACAGTCGCAAAGGGTCACGGTAGTTTTAGTGTAATGTAGCATGTAACATGTTAGTTAGAAAAGGTGAACTTAACCTTTTAAGGGCATTTTTTTTCATCTTTTGGAGATGAAGATTTGCAAAGTGTGCAATATAATTGACTACATTTTTGTAAATAGCATGAAAATCCTTTTACTGGAGTTCATTGGAGGAAACAGGATTCACGAACTAATGGGTTATACTGTCCCCTATAGGAGGATTTGGACACTGGCAAATAAAAAACAATGACCAGCCCAGTATAACTCCTCCTACACTTAGCATGTCTCACTGTTGGAGAAAATCATTAATAAAAGCAATCTCAAGACAAAGAAGGGCGTACCTTTGTCCCTCAATGAACTCCAAGAAGTGGATTTTATGGTAAGTATCCAATTTTCTTTTTCATCAATTGAGGGTCACAGGATGCAGAGAATAATAAGGACTTGGACTGCCTGCAACTCAAAGAGCTGCCTGAAGGACCCTATGCCTGTAACTGGTATTATGAAAATATGAAAATATGCCTGGTAAAACCTAGAAAACATGTAAACAAAAGCCTTAGAAAACTGGGAAACAGTTGCTTGACATTGAAAATTCCAAGAAGCACACTCAAGCCTAGTAGAGTATACATTGACAGGAAAGGGTGAAACACAATGCTTAAAGCCCATTAGCCTGGATGAAGGTTTGTCTGGGTCACCAAGAAAGGGTGGAGCAAGAAGTAGGTTCCCCTTTATGGGGACCATCAAGGAAGACAAAAAGAGAGTCTTTTCAATGGAAGCAGCGGCTGCAAGCTAGACATGCAGAGCGCAACCCACATCCAAACAATGATGGAAGATCTCCTTCGCATGCACTGGAATCAGATTGGAATAAGAACAATGTCGTCGTTGAGATAAAAAGCTGAAAGCCAACTTAGTAAGTAAGGAAGTTCTAGGCATTAACACTATCTTGGCCCCCATTAAAGTGTTTGTAACCCTAAAAAAAAAAAATTCATACTGTTCCTTTAAAGTGTGAAAGATAGCATAGTGCATTTGTTCAATTCTATGCTGTAAAACACCTAGTTGTCCTGCCTGTTCCTGTGTCCTCCTGTTTGTGCTGACCATGATAATCACAGCTGCTGATCCATGATATCATGGTTAGTCTACATGCCTCTGTCATCCCGCTGTGTGTTCTGAGTCTCCCCCCTCTCCCCTTCCTTCCCTGCCTTTCATTTCTTAATCAGTGTGAGAGCCAAACTCCTCCCCACCCCTCCCCTCATACCACTATTCCACTGCAATATCTAACACAATTACTTTTATCCCCTCTGGTTTATAAAGACAAAAACTTCAGTGTGTGTGTTTTGAAAATGATAA